GCATGTTTGTCCATTTTTAAATGGGAGCGAAACTATGCTATTACAAACTAATAGCATGGCTTTTCGGGAGATTAGTGATTAAATGACCCCTTACCCTCGGCAGGTTTGCGGAATTCCCTCGGGCTTCGCCCTCGGGAATTCCGCAAACTTGCCTCGGGTTACGGGGCCATTTAATCACTAATCTCCCTCAAGCCATGCTATTACTTATAAATAATATATATATGTAAAAAGGCTACCACACAAAAAGGAAATAATTTTTAGTAATTTGAAATTAAAACTTTCGAGTTGATCACTGCCTATCAATAATCCAGAAGAAAGCTCCTTACAAGAAGAAATTAATCTCCAGCTGGTCCCAAGGAAACAAACTTAGTTGAACCCGAAGAAGTGCAAAGAGTTTCCTTTAATTAAGAGAAATCCACGATCTTATGAATCAGTAGAAGTCATCCTTTCGAGAGTTCACATGCTGTAAGAGTTCTCGGAGTCATGATTAGGGATGACGTGAAATAGAACGGCCATGATGCTTGCGCTATATGTTTTTAACAAACGATTTATCTATACCAAATTTTATTCAGGGCGAAACGGATTTCTGTTTACAGTATATAAAGTTCTTAATTATTGAATATATTTTTTTCGCAAACAGTACAATCGGAAAGTAGGCGAGAAAGTTTGGACTCTTTCTGCATTCAGAATTGACAGATCCGGCATTTTCTGTATTCCTCGTTTTCCGTGAACTCTTTACATACATATTTTTTATTTGTAACAAGGACGAACTGTTAGCATATAATACTGACTGAATTAGATCATTTATTTTCAAGATCCTTTCCATATTTGTGAAGAAACGAAGTTGAAAGTATGTACACCATAAGTCTACTGAAATCAGTTTTGTTTGTCAGCAAATCTAGTATTGTTTGTCAGCAAATCTAGTATTGTAGGAATGAGATGTGGAAGCCATGCAGTTGAATAGTTTGAGAAAGTACTGTAGGTCTATAGAACAACATCGCACAATGTGAAAGTACTAAAATGCTGAAGCGGAATACGAAACTAACAAATAATTGACAGGCTATATATAATTAAATGTCATTCATTAACTTCTGCATCCGTCACATCGCAAGCTAGCAATAACCAGATCTACAAGTACTGCAAATCTGCATGGTGTGTTCACTCCTCAGCATGAAAAATATAAGCGTGAGAAATATTCTGGTTCATTTATTAGATCACACATGAGTTACTAAATGGTCAAAAAAGTCGGAATTTGCAAAACAAACATGTACCAACTTTATTCAAACAGAACTACCAATATAGACAATACTGGTACATATAGAACACAAACATATTTAATTTACAGAAAGACTATAGATTACAAAATTAGGATACTATAGTTATAATTGATCAAAATTTGTTAGGACATCGGAGCAGTACTTGGCTACCAATGTCCCCACAGGATTTGTCTTTCATTACAAGAACATACATAAACAAGTCATGATTATTAAAAGAACGAAACGAGTGATTTATTTGCCTAATTTGGTCATAAATAACATCCGCTCTGAGGTCAGTAAACTTGTATTACTGAACCGCATTAAGTGGTGCTGTTCGTTTCCGACCTCGTTTAAATTGCAATGTTGACAAATTTGTTTATCGAACGGGACATTTGCATAAGTCTGGAATACTCTCGACTCTTTTATTATTTTAATTAAGAGTGATTTCCGTTCCAAATAAAATATTGTTATACTTATTTCAAATTCAACAATTTAATATTTGCATTTTTCTACAGAAAGTCCCCTGTTAAAAAAAAACCAACAAAAACGACTGATTTTTTGAATTGAATCCCCAACATTAGTCTACAACGGAATCTCACTTTGAATTCTAACTCGAATCATTACTAGCCCTCTTCAATCGAGCGGATTGATCAGGAATATTTACACTTGCAATTTTAGGTGTGATTTTCTCCTTCTGATGGATGTGAACGAGTGGATGAGTTATGAATGTTCAGATGAGGGTACATCTACCCATGCAGAACAATCATAGCTCATCTACTCATTCACATACATCAGAAGTAGAAAATCGCACTTGAAATCGCAGCGAAAATTGCAAGTGTAAACGGGCCTTAAGATCGATCAAATATGTTACTGATGCCAAATTATTTCATGTTGCCATGTTCTTTGAAAAGTTTTATATCGTATATGAACGGAACGATACGACGTTTCTCCTGTCAACATAATAGACGAAACCCGTTCCAAACGGGTTTTGCATGATATGACATAGTTCCGGTCAACATGCGCGCGCACCGATTTCACACTGCCGACCTGGAAACTAATTGACACGGGTCAGAACGCAGGCAGCCGAGAAGCCCTGGGAACGAGGATGGTCAGAGCTCGGTGAAAAATGCTGACTAAGTGGAATATAAGTGGGGCTATTCTACTTGTATACACTTGTTATTGTTCTAAATCTCACAAACCTGGGACTGACAATGTAATACAGGTTGCCCACTTGCCTCCCCCCCCCCCCTAAAAACAAACAAACAAACAACCCACCACTATGTTTTGTGGTATTACAACATTGTATTTGTAGAAGTTCCACTTTTTTATCCTACACGGAATAACTATCCTAACGTTTTAATTTATTGATATACGACTGGAGGTTTGATTCTATATCACCATATGCAAGTCCTGCATGCTTGCGAGGTTGCTATATCACATGCTCGCAATAATTTATTATACACAGTAATTATTAATTATGTTAAGTACCATTTTACATCTATTTGTACCTTTTTTATTTATGTAAAATTCTCACAACTCTGTTATTCTGCCAATGTGCCAAAGGTATATTAAGAAACATTATACATATATAATCTTTGAACTAAACGAAAATGCAACTATGGTCTTGGAAAAATTATAAGTGACTTCAGAATTTCTAAAGTGCGGATCAAAGAGGATGAGGGTTGGGTTTTGCCAATGCTATCATGTATTCTGGGAAATAGCAATAAAAATTAAGTTTCTCCCATTTAGAAGAGAAATTCGAGATTTTTCAAAACCTTTTTACAGATTTTCTTCATCGTTCTTGGTATAAAAGATATTACACTTCATTTCAAGCAAAATCATTATGCATTCCGCCATCTTGGATATGCATATCCATCGTCGGATATGCATGATGTCACAACCAGGGTAACATTATTGAACAATTCTCAGGCCATTTTAATGTTAAATCCTATTTTTTACTATTGTCTGTTTTAAAGTAAAGCACAAGCCGCCTATGTATAAGCTTTCCACTGATATTATGTTTTAGTTTTAAAATGTCTACCCTGGTTTTGACGCCATTTAATTAGTTGATCTACTTACAAAACAAGATGGCGGATGGCAGGGCACTTAGTTCCAAATATCTCAAAAACTAAGATAGTTTAGGAGAATTTGTAAAAAGAATTTGTAAATAATCTTAACATCCATTCAAATTAGTCAAACATAATTTTTGTTGCCATTTTTCAAAAATGGCAGTGATTTTTCTGTAATTAAGTTAAAACAGGTTGGAACAGTCATCAAACTTTTAAATTAGTTTGTTAATTTAGAGCTTGAAATGTCCCCCGTAACAATTCGTGACTAGTGCCAACTCTCATCAACTCTAATCCTAGTTTGACCGAGGCTTCAGAATCATTACATTGCTTATGTGTATATGACGTTTATGGACACTACCTCGTGTTTGCCACTTTATACTGGGTATTGACATGAAACAAATATTCTATTTTCGCTACCAAGACTCAGGATAACCACTACGAACCCACGATCACACTGGTCATGTTACTGAGTGTAATTCTATTTAAGCCAGTTTTCCACTCCAATCGTATGGTACCGAAACGTAGCGTATTTTTTTATTTCCTGAGCGGTAGTGTGGGACTAATGACTTCGACACAAAAGAAAATTCTACGGTACGTTACGATACGGTTCAAGTGGGAAAACGGATTAAAGCTGATGGCCAATCATTATCATTGTGGTACCTGTAACTGTAACCATCATTATCAGGTTGGATAACTCTATCATACTTATCTCGCTCCGACGCTTTTAATTGATCCGCCATTTCCTTAAGGTGTTCAGGGATTTCCAGTTTCTTCAATTTTTTACACTTTAATACGGCTTGTAGTGCTGAAAGTTCTAATTTTGGATTAAAGTCAAGCATAACAGTCGTTAGATTATCAAGATGTTCAAGTCCTTCGATAAATTTTAGTCCAGTATTTAATAATTGCAAACTATCCAGATTTTTCAACATGCCACTACTCGCGGCAAATGAAATTGATTCGATGGAGTCCTCCTTGATGGAAAGCGATATTAACTCCTGCAACTCCAAAATATTTCTTGGAATACATTTAAGACCGCATCCAGTAATGACTAGTCTCAACAGAGAAGTTAACTTGGTAAAATATTTAAAGTCATCATTGACAAGTGGACCACAATTTTTCAGTCTGAGGTCTTGAATGTCATTGCAATCGTAAAATATGGTCAGTGGAATTCCTGGAAGGTCGTGAAGGGGCAGGATCACATATATTTTGGCTTTGTTCGATATCTCCCTTAGTTTTGAAACAGGGAACTCATTAGCGAGAAGATATGCTTCTATTTTTGTTAAATATGTTGCAAAATGGACTACATGTATTTTATTAGAATTGTGCAATAGGTGAAGCAGGAATCCCAAGTCGCCATCTTCTTCCACACAAATAGAGGGTGCATTAAATTTACATTTTTTCATAAGTGTCCACCCAATCATGAAAATAAAAAGTACAAAGGTAATCACTAACACTATAAGATAGAATATCAATCCCCCAGCGAATGCAGGCACAAGGCTGTGTGAACAAATAAAATAGTCATGAGGAACAGGGATATATTCGGTGATTCTGCAGGTTATTTTTTCTGGCCAGTCAGTCGTGTAGTAGTAAATATCAATTACGAAGAATGCGAAGGCAAAAAGAGCTTGCAATACACACTGAACCAAATAAACATACCATATTTTCCATTTGGGGCATGATGTGATACTCATCTTGAATTGGTTCACTTTTTTGTGCAACGTCTTCACTTTATTTACAGTTTCAGCGTCATCCGTAAAGTTGAATTTAAAACTTTCTCTTCCTGTTATCATTTTGTCGTAGGCATAAGAGATTTTGGAGACATTGTGTGGGGTGATAGACCACTCCAACCTTTGTGCTCCTTCTAAATTAGAGGATGGCGAATCGTAGCATTCCATCACAAGTGTGCTAAAACGTTCAATAAATGATGCTATGGCTGGAATTTTTAGCCATAAATGACCGATTACAAGGAGTGCAAATGATTCAGCAAACAGCACAATCCAAAAGTATGCAAGAAATTTTGGAATAGCACATTTACTGCATTCAGAATTGACAAACCCGGCATACTGGATAATCGTTTTAATGTCCGTTATGACATAAGTTGTTTCTGTATTTCTAGTTTTCTGCGAACTGTAAAATGGTTTACATACATTGCGATACTTTATCTGTGATATTAACGAGGACCAGTTAGTATTTCGTCTTGATATAGCTGGGCATTCAACTGCAGGCACGCATTCAAATCTACCAGATATAAATTGCATACCTGCGAACAGTAATGATAGTAATACCAAGGATTTCACAAGATATTCTGCTATGACCTCCCACACTGGCTTCAGAATCTTGATTTTTTCACCTTCAAAACTTAAGATATCGCTCAATGCAAACATTTTCAACGTTAGTGTAGACAATGCCAATGGAGAAATGTATAGACAATAGAGTACAACTTTTTGGAGTTTTATGCGGCCTGTTCTACTCAGTATTATACAAATGCTGACCATACGATGTACAAGGTTAAACTACAAAATGCTTTGTCATTGGAAAACTTAAAGCATTTGTTTACAGTTCACTATTGTTTGGGATAGCCGTTGACAAATGCAACCGATTTGAATAAACGAGATGTTTTCAGCCAATGAATGGGTTTGCTTTCCTCTGTGCACTGAATTAACATGTTCCCACACGCTGTTTTTAAGAGCAGCTGTTTCAGTTGCAAGTATAAAAAGCGCGTTTCGTTTGTATAGCCCTGCTAAGAACTCTACAACAAAGTGCCTTTGGTAGATATGTCGAGAAGTACATATTTGATGATGTACATATTTGATGAAGTACATATTTGACGATGTACAAGGTTAAACTACAAAATGCTTCGTCATTGGAAAACTTAAATTATTTGTTTACAGTTTACTATTGTTTAGGATAGCCGTTGACAAATGCAAGTGATTTGAACAAACGAGATGTTTTCAGCCAATGAATGGGTTTGCTTTCCTCTGTGCACTGAATTAATATGTTCCCACACGCTGTTTTTAAGAGCAGCTGTTTCAGTTGCAAGTATAAAAAGCGCGTTTCGTTTGTAGCTCTGCTAAGAACTCTACAACAAAGTGCCTTTGATAGATATGTCGCGAAGTACATATTTGATGATGTACATATTTGATGAAGTACATACTTAAGTATTTGTTTACAGTTTACTATTGTTTAGGACAGCCGTTGACAAATGCAACTGATTTGAATAAACGAGATGTTTTCAAGCAATTAATGGGTTTGCTTTCCTCTGTGCACTGAACTAATATGTTCTCACAAAGTGCCTTTGATAGATATGTCGAGAAGTATACATATTTGATGGATATGTCGAGAAGTACATATTTAAGATGGCCGAGAAGATAAACATAACGAAACTCGGAATTATAATCACAAAAACCACTAGAGCTATTCATTTATTATTTCCATCACAGATAAAATTAAAATATAAGACAGAGTTATAGTTACCGCGTATATGCATGTGCAGCGGTTTTGTTATGAAAACTGCAGGTAACAATCCCATGCCCATGGTCCTGCATGCTGATTTATATCAACTAAATTACATCAGAACTTTTAGTTTATTTTTCCCACAAAATAACGTTCATAGAATTTATACCCAATTTACAACTTTAGATTAATACATAATTATCATAGTTCTAGTATACGAAAGCATATATTGCGTGATAGAACAAACTAAACTTTCTAAGAATTATACATGAGCCGGTAATAACTCTTATACATAATTCTAACTGTTCCATTCGATGCTTCTGTAAACTAAGGGGCGGACCATTAGAAATCCCGGGAGGGGGGGTATAAAATTTTTGCGGCACGAATTTTTTTTTCAGTATCATGTCTCTGCAGGAATTTTTTTTAATGCATTTAACCTCTGCACGAATTTTTTTTCAAGACTTTTTTTCAAGACTATTTTTCCGGAATTTGTTTTGGCGACCCCCCCCCCGTCGCCAAAAAAATTTCGGTCAGTGTACCATTTTAAGGGTCAAAAATTTTTTCCGGACATACCACATACCAAAAGTTACCACAAAATTGACAGAATTTGTCAAAAAAAATTTTTAATAAACTAAAATTGCCCGACTGTTCAGCGAATATTGCCCGACTGCCAAGTGCCCGGTACACCCATGACTTTTCTGTTTGCTTGCACGAATTTTTTTTCTCTGACGTAATGGCTGCACGAATTTTTTTTCCAGGCATTTTTCTTTGCACGAATTTTTTTTTAGCCAACAGGGCTATCTTTAAAACGGGGAACGGGGAATGGGGGAAGGGAACGGGGAAGGGAACGGGAAAGGGAATGACCGGGGAATGGCCGGGGAATGGGAACGGGGAAGGGAATGAGCGGGGAATGAGCGGGGAATGAGCGGGGAATGGCCGGGGAATGAGCGGGGAATGAGCGGGGAATGGCCGGGGAATGGCCGGGAAATGGCCGGGAAATGACCGAAATCGGGAAAAAACCTAACATTTTGAAGATTTTTGATTAAATATTTTCATGAATTGTTTTCGTTGCGTTATGGCAAATGTAGCATTGAAGTAAATCGAAATTACAGTAATAGGATTAGGTGACCGAAGCTATGTTGTTTGTGTAAATGTCGTTTCGTTTCGTTGCGTTATGGCAAGTAATCAGCCGGACCACACATTGTAAGTACAACGCAAGACAATAGACCTTGTTATATAGTTTTTGTCAAAGTTCAATTTCTCTGTTCGACGATTGATCAAAACCGTATCACGTAACAATAGAGAGGTTAAGTCAAGATACCCCGAAAGCACCACTGCCAATTTCTTCAACATGTTTTAGTGATTCCCAACTAAATGTGGGTAAACAGTGATCTATTTTTCGCCTTTTTATTAGTGAAGGAAATTTAAAGCTTCCCTGTACTCCAGACATTTTGAATGTCGGCAACCAAAAGCTGTTTGCTGACGTATTACACTATTTTATCTCACCTTTTGTCATTTGAGTATGTGGCACTTTGGGCATAGTTTTCAATGTGCGCTTCCTATCTAAGCACAATGTAAAGCTTAGTAAGAATGTAAGATCAAATTTCGAAAAAATACTGGATTGAAATGTCATCATTACAAATGAAATTAAATTTTTAGCATATAACTGGACAGCAAGAATTTACCTGAAGGTTAAAAAAATGTTGTGTGACACAAATTACATTTAATGACAGATTTTCGCCAGGTTTTTAAACGCCGCGCTTCCTATAGCTATACGCCGCACAGTGACATTGGAATTAATACTGTTACCCGATCCTCACGTTGTATATCAAGAACGTATCAATAAAATATTTGTATGATTGAATCCAATAATTTATTTGCAGTGTATAGAGCTGGGGCTGTGGGTTAGGAGTATAAATATGCGTAAAGTTCAATTCCAATATGACCAATATGCTAATGCCATTGTCTTGCGTTATACCATTACTTTTATTGGCTTATAATGTGCGGATCGGCTGATTACTTGTATAGTTAACACTGACAAATATTGGTTTATTCAAGCCAAACAATAAATCAACATGAGAATGATAAGATCGTATAAACATCTACATATTGCGGTCTAGTAGGGTCTACTATAGCTATGGTTTAATATTTGTAACGTGCCGAGCACAATGTCAATGCAAAACAAGTGCGCGGAGTCAAAGCCAGAGTGGCGAGCCATTTATTAAATAAAGCACAATCTTATATGATACAATTGCGTGGGAGCCTTGGCCTCTCCCAAAAGGAACTACGTCATTTACACAAACAACATAGCTTCGGTCGCCTAATCCTATTACTGTAATTTCGATTTACTTCAATGCTACATTTGCCATAACGCAACGAAAACAATTCACGAAAATATTTAATCAAAAATCTTCAAAATGTTAGGTTTTTTCCCGATTTCGGCCATTCCCCGGCCATTCCCCGCTCATTCCCCGGCCATTCCCCGCTCATTCCCCGCTCATTCCCCGGCCATTCCCCGGCCATGCCATTCCCCGGCCATTCCCAGGTCATTCCCCGGCCATTCCCTTCCCCGTTCCCTTCCCCCATTCCCCGTTCCCCGTTTTAAAGATAGCCTTTGACGAGTTAGAACAAGCCGCGCTATGTAAATATTGAATGTCATTTGTGCTCTAATGAAGTGTTAATGGCGACTAAGTAGGACAATTGCGCGTGTTCGCAACATCAAGGTGTGAACAAGTAAATTTTGTTAGCAAACATTTGCGGTAAATGGAGAAGGGAAATGAGAATTATTAAACAAACTAGGAAGGATATTAAAGTGTGACAAGGATATTAAAAGATGGACGCTTGACAATGCTCGCAGCATAGTTTTATTTTAAGCTGTGAAAAACAACACGTGTGTATTTTATTTTACAGCACGGAGTAATTGCTTCATGTCTATAATTAAAGCTCCCGTTATATTGGCACGAGAGAGTCACGTGGTAGTCCCCAGCTGCAGTTTTTAAGCGCGAGCACGTTTTCTGTGACAACTTTTCGTATGGCACATTTGCTAACTGCGTCTGTGTGTGTACTTGGAAATATTTTTTTATAATATGACAAGCCCTTGATCCCTGACGCCTGACCAACCGCATGTAAGAGTTCAAACTACTTTGCCAAATTCTCTTTGTTGACCAAATTTGTAGTTTGCCAGGTTTTTTTTCCCATCACAATCCACTTGACAAGCTTAGCTTTCGAACACGAGGCACAGAAAGACTTGACAAAGTTGCTTATACACACGAGGTGATAAGACTTGCCATATTAAAATTTGTCACAGAAAACTTCTATGAACATTCAAATGAGCTATGAACATTCAGAGCAGGGTACATATACTCAGAACATTCATAACTCGTATACTCGTTCACATGTTTAGAAGAAAAAAAATTGCACTAGAAATGCTAGCAAAATTGCCAGTAACAATTTGAAACATGTAGGTCGTCCCTTAGCATGACTGATACACGTCTAAGGTGTCTTATGGTAATATGGTCCTCTAATCTGATGTACATAGGCGTTCTTTCTAGACAACATTATCTTTTGTGAGCAGATTTGTAGATGCAATTTAATGGACTGATAGGATAGTTGCATTCACAAATAATTTATCCAACTGTGCACTGTTAATATAGAGCCCCGCGGACATATAATGATCTGGAACTCTTTCAGTAACAAACACCGCAAGGTTTCCTCCAGGTATTTAGGTTTCCTCCTGTAGTAACACTGGATCAATAAGAGATGATCCTTACTTGACCTCTAGGGAGAACAGTTTAGAACTGGTAGAACTATCCAGTATAAATAAAGTTAGTTTAGTTTAGGTTTCCTCCTGTAGTAACACTGGATCAATAAGAGATGATCCTTACTGGACCTCTAGGAAGAACAGTTTAGAACTGATAGAGCTATCCAGTATAAATAAAGTTAGTTTAGTTTAGGTTTCCTCCTGTAGTAACACTGGATCAATAAGAGATGATCCTTACTGGACCTCTAGGAAGAACAGTTTAGAACTGATAGAGCTATCCAGTATAAATAAAGTTAGTTTAGTTTAGGTTCCTCCTGTAGTAACACTGGATCAATAAGAGATGACCCTTAGTAAATCTCTAGGGAGAACAATTTAGAAGTGATATAGACCTCTAGGAAGAACAGTTTAGAACTGATAGAGCTATCCAGTATAAATAAAGTTAGTTTGGTTTAGGTTTCCTCCTGTAGTAACACTGGATCAATAAGAGATGATCCTTACTGGACCTCTTGGAAGAACAGTTTAGAACTAATAGAGCTATCCAGTATAAATAAAGGTAGTTTAGTTTTATAGGTTTCTTCGTGTTGTAACACTGGATCAATAAGAAGGGTAATTGATCTCTAGCAGTTCAAATTTTTATATTACAGATTGAGCTAGTGCTAATTCTTAAAACTAATTGTGGATTTGATACTGTATAAGCTAGTGCTAATCCTTAAAAATGCTTGGAGTTGATACTGCATATAACTAAGCGCTAATTCGTAAAAATTATTGGATAGGCTAATACCGTATAACGAAAGATGATACTGACGGTGAATTAATATGTTTATAGTTCCGGCCACAAACAGATCAAGGTCCAAATTACTAAATTCTTGAAAATTCTTACTTTAAAACATAATACATATGCCCAATTGGGCGTCACATTTCTTGAAAAGGAACTACGTTTACGAAAAATTTGGTCGAAGTTCATATTGTCGTAACCTCAAATTGCTCGAAGCAATTTTCATTAAACAGGCACCAAAATGTTTCAACGATGAGCTCTTTAAAACTGGTGTTCAACTGTAGTTTATGATTGGGGCGAAGAGTCAAATCGTGCACAACACAGTAGAATAATTTATCCTTGTACATTTTCATTCAATCCTGTATATCCTTAAAGGCTAGTTAATTTCTCTCCGGAAAATTATCCGTGGATTGGAACGGACAAGAAAATTTTTCTTTGTGTTAAAGTCATTAGTTCCAACCCAGAGCTCACAAGACAAAGAAAAATTTTCTTGTCCGTTCCGCTAGTGGAAACTAGCCTTAATAATAGACTACAGTATATGCTTTGCAGGGATAATTCTCGCCCACTATCTTTTATTAAAACATTTCATTTAATTTATGCTGTCAGTTTCCCACCCCCACAGGCGAAATGTGCAATATGAAACTCTAATGCAAACATAGTCATGCTGATATCGAAATAAAAACAAACTTAACAAGACTACAATGACGGTAACAAAATAGACTTGACACAAATTAAGTTAAAAAAGAAACGAAATGGCTTGAAATATTACATCATATTAAGACTTTATCAAAAACTGAAAGGAAAATAGCTTTATAAAGAGGTGCAAATCGAGGTGTGAATTATGTACTGTATCTAAACATATTGGATTTCTAGATTTAGTATATCAAGTTGTGTGAGAGTTCAGCGTCTGGGTAGTATTCTACATTAAACTGCGTGGTTTGTGCTTGAACTTTCTGATTAAAAATATTCCGGCGTTTCGAGCAAGAGTGTAATAGCGCGGGACTCGCGGCACAGCTTGTTTAGGAGGAGGTTATAGCGTGGGACTACATCAAGGGTCCCTGGAACCCCACATTTGAAAGATCACCGCTATCCGCGCAAGGGAGTTTAATGTATATAATACCCTTCAGACCCTTACCTCAATCTTTCCAAGTCTTTCAAGCCATTCGGTTTGAAGTAGTCCAAATGATAAAATATGTCCTTCCCTATGTCGCAAATAGGCTGCCAACAAAAATGATTCGGTCCCATCAGCCAGTCTGCGGCGTAATAGTTCATATCGTATGTCTGTCCGAATACATGCTTCAAATAGTGTTTGGCTTGAATGAGAGTCTTTCTTTCGCGCGGTTTGAGACGGTCAACGTTCACATTTAGCGCGTTTAACTTCTTTAATAGCGCCAGGGAGGCATCTGTGATCGTTTTCAAGTTCGACGGTTTTGGGTTGAACGGTTTGTATGTCTTTTGTATAACGACCACGTCCTCTTCAAAATCCATTTTTGGGTCGTGATAGCTTTGGTGTGGATGAAGTCTGAAGAAGGTCCGTTGCATTTCAGTTAGGAACTGTTCAAATCCTGCGCGCTTTGCTTCCTCGGAAAAGCCGCAGTACTTATGTTCCAAATCTCCAGTCCCTTGGCAGTCGTCTTTCTTCGAAGATGAGACAATAATCAGTGAGATTCCCACCACAACCAGAATCATGGATACAATAAAGAGCACGATTATGGTTAAACTACAAGTCGCGCGCGCTTGCTTGCTTCCCATAACCGAATACTGGCCGCCTTTATCCTTGTTCATCATCTCCGCCACTTCGCTTTCCCTATGCGAGTGCTTCCCGTTCATTGCCATCACACGCTAAGAACCTTATATAAGGGTAAATCCAAAACTCGCTTGTCAACAGCTATATGCACTTCGGATGCGTTTTTTAGAAGATTCCACACACACAAGTGTGCTAATGCGCGCTATGACGGGAAATAGATCTTCTTTGATACGCGCATAGTCATATGAAGCGCACTTGATTTTATCTGGATAAAATCTTGTGAGTGTTCTCTTCAAGGGCAATCTTATCCTGTCTCGCAACTTCCGTTTGGGGCAAACAAGCAAAGCGTGTGTTTGCCGAGGTATGCGATTTTGTCACATCAAATTTCTAATCACTCCGTGACAGCATTAACTGCGTTTTGTGGGAACCTGTCAGTCTTTGAGAGGTTATTTTATACAATACGCCATACAATACGTACAAGTGGGCAGCCTGCGTCTTGCAGTGTAGGCCATTAGCGATCACTATAAGACTTCATTAGCACTGCTTTGTCATTCGTAAACTCGCTCATGCGCCGCGAAACCCCCTGCGCGGTTTAAAACGTTAGATTAAAACTATTAGTTGAGTCCTTCCTCCGTCAACATGCTGGCAGGAATTACCAAACAGCATGTATCATTAATTTCATATATCTTTCACAAATGGTTTGTGTTTTTCATCGGCTCTCCCTAAATACATGACAACATCAAAACACAAAACCACAGGTCATATATAAACATGTACGTACGCTTTTTGTCGCGAGTTTTTGCTTTGTATAATAATTAAATCTACAACTTTTAATGAATGATGTTTAATATATTATATTCTTTAGGAGATAAGCTTTGTATACTATTGTCTTTATTTGGTTTAATCCGGCTTAACACACGTGCTTGTAATGTCTAGATCGTGATTCTAAGTTCCTTAGGGTTATGTAAAGTTCACAGTCTATTGCAGCTCGCGAGCGGAACAAATTCAGGCTAGGAGTCTGTCAACTGGGCCGCGTGTAAGATCTTTCCTGCGCTTACATTAAAATTATGTATCGATTTGGCTCGCTAGCTCAATTGAGAGGGAAATGAGCCAAATTTCACTACACAGTATATTGGATTTTCTGCATAATTTATTAATCTTTTACGTATGTGTTTCTGACTAAACTCTTAGCCCATTCAGATATTCATGAACTACACGTGAAATTAAGCTTATTAATAATGCTATCTCATTCTGCATTCTAAGATACCTGATACCCCAATTTTAAGATTTCATTAATTAAATGGAGTGCTAGTTCCATATCTTGTATCAATTTTACTTAATCCAATATTTGAAAAAAAAAGATTCTATAAAAAGCAGTATTTATAATAATATGAGAACTGATAAATGGCTATTCTTGTTTCAATTTGCCTTGAGGCGACTATAATTTATGTATCGTGCGTATGTTCTTTTCCTATCGTTTGTCCTGTTTGATTGTTTTAGAAGTTGTAAATTGTATCAGTAGTGTTCGGAATAATGTATTCAAAATATTCGCAAACATATTCTTATCTCTTAGAAAAATTTCGTTTTTGAGAATAAAATAAACGACTGGTGAGCTAAATATAAATTATAAATAAAACAGGAAGATATTAAAGCAATAGATAAACTGAGGCTATTTCTGTTTGCGGTAATCATTACGGAGGAACCGATAGCTGTATTTCTTCCTCGAGGGCCAATTGAATAAAGATCTCTTTTTGATCCAGTGTTATTATAGACCTCAGAAGAAAACTAAAACTAAACTAACTTTATTTATACTGGATAGCTCTATCAGTTCTAATTAAACTGTTCTCCCTAGATGTCCAGTAAGGATCATCTCTTATTGATCCAGTGTTACTACAGGAGGAAACCTAAGCTAAACTAACTTTATTTATACTTGATAGTCCTATCAGTTCTAAATTGTTCTCCCTAGAGGTCCAGTGAGGATCATCCCTTATTGATCCAGTGTTACTACACGAGGCCGAAACCTAAACTAAACTAACTTTATTTGTACTGGATAGCTCTATCAGTTCTAAACTGTTCTTCCTAGAGGTTCAGTAAGGATTATCTCTTATTGATCCAGTGTTACTACAGGAGGAAACCTAAACTAAACTAACTTTATTTATACTGGATAGCTCTATCATGCAGTTCAAAACTGACTTCTTCCTAGAGGTCCAGTAAGGATCATCTATTATTGATCCAGTGTTACTACAGGAGGAAACCTGAACTAAACTAACTTTATTTATACTTGATAGCTCTATCATGCAGTTCTAAACTGTTCTTCCTAGAGGTCCAGTAAGGATCATCTCTTATTGATCCAGTGTTACTACAGAAGGAAACTAAAACTAAACTAACTTTATTTATACTGGATAACTCTATCAGTTCTAAACTGTTCTTCCTAGAGGTCCAGTATGGATCATCTCTTATTGATCCAGTGTTACTACAGAAGGAAACTAAAACTAAACTAACTTTATTTATACTGGATAACTCTATCAGTTCTAAACTGTTCTTCCTAGAGGTCCAGTAAGGGTCATCTCTTATTGATCCAGTGTTACTACAGGAGGAAACCTAAACCAAATTAACTTTATTTATACTGGATAGCTCTATCAGTTCTAAACTGTTTTTCCTAGAGATTCAGTAAGGATCATCTCTTATTGATCCAGTGTTACTACAGGAGGAAACCTAAACCAAACTGACTTTATTTATACTGGAAAGCTCTATCAGTTCTAAAGTGTTCTTCCTAGAGGTCCAGTAAGGATCATCTCTTATTGATCCAGTGTTACTACAGGAGGAAACCTAAACTAAACTAACTTTATTTATACTTGATAGCTCTATCAGTTCAAAACTGTTCTTCCTAGAGGTCCAGTAAGGATCATCTCTTATTTTAATTTGAAGTCCTGGGGCCGGTTGTTCAATGGTGGGTTAGTGCTAACCCTGGGTGAATATATAACCTGCTTTTTTAGTTTGTGTATTTCTGCACGTCTGTTTATTTCAAAACTTCAGAGAAGAAAACTCCTATCGATCCAGACAAGATCTGTGAAGAAATATTTGCAAATTTATAGAGAAGCTGTTTGCTTTGAATTTTAGGTTAACCTAAGCTAACCCAGCTTTGAACAACCGGGCCTTGCATATTACATGACTGAGAGAATAACGTGCGCAGATGTGAAAGCCATATACTGTTGATTTAAACAAAAGCTAGGTAGCAAGTTTTGATTGAAAATGTGTATTTGAAATTCCGAGAAGGTCAATGCGATTTAGTTGCAGAAAATAAAAAAACAGGTATTGATAGACTTGGAACCACTCGACAGAACTGTTGTGTTTCGAAGTCAATACATAGATGCCCTGCGCGGTCTTTCGTTCAATTTTCACATTTAGGAATTTGGTTTAAAAAATGGCTTGGAAATTTGATTTCGACCCCCTCCCCTTCCGGGTCCCAAATGACCCATTAAGGTGAAAGGCGTTAAACATTGGGCCACCAACAGCCCGAAACAATCTTTCTGCAAAGGAAAAGCGGCGTTTACCTGATAGAGATCTCCACAACCTCGCGTGACTTCGCATAATTGCGCATTTCCTGCGCTTGGGAAAAAAATTCTAATATGTTTTTTCAACCCGGACATAGGATGAACCTCCCCTTGCCTGTGTGGTCCCGAGAGAGACCATTCCGAGCGCGGGGGGGGGGCGTGTTCCTATACAGCCTCTTCGCTTTACCGACCAACTTGGCCCGCGATCAATTTACAGACTATATTTGCAATCAATTGACAAGTCAAGTTTTTCCCCTACATAATCTCCTTTTCACCGACGTTTTTTAAAATGTGGAGGTGGTTGCAACCCCCACACTCCCCTCGGTTCCTGCCCCTTTCCCCTACTGATCCTCGTGGTGGCGATGAGAGAGGAACTACGAACGAATCTAACACTATATAAGTTCTTTGAATCTAACACTGTCCAACCATGACATCATCGGTATTTCGGGCTTGTCATTTTATTAAAACGATCTCTATGTTTAAATTATAGTTTGTGGTGTTGACGTAATTAGCAGAGCTAGAATAATCTTCCGTCAATCTTCAGGTAAGAAACTTAAACGACTTAAACTATTCACGGTATGCATCTGCAACTTTATCGAGAAACCATGATATTAGAATAATTGTAATAAATTTTAATATCTCCTCACAGTGCTAAGGACTTCCGCCTGAGGGCCTACAGTTGTGTTAAGTTTTTCTTTAAAATTTCCCTCTGCGAAAAAAACTTGCCGACTGAGCCGTTACTCTATGAACCTTATTCTGTATTCTGCTAAACTTATATGAGGAGAAACTTATTTTTTTCTTCATACAAAATAAGTATCCATTGATCGCACGATGGCTCACTGAAAATGAACGTGCTTTATGGTAAAAACGACCCGATATGTAAGTAAACTAGCGTAGATTATGTTCACTGACCTAATTCCGTTGTGGCCTAAATATTTTATTATATTACGATATTTCACGAATATCCATGAAAAAGTGTATTCGTGTATGAGAAACTTCTTTAATTAAGGCGCGATGTAGGCGCAGCAACCACATAAGCGTGACTACGCAATATTTGCGTAAATTGCGCGTTAATTACCATGTCAGGTAGAGTATGTTTGAAAACTGCAAATAAAAAATACGATGAAATATTGACACAATGACACACCTTAATTAAACGTAACTAAGGGAAAGAACTTTCTGTGGTTTCTTAACTGATCCTTCTTAGTAACCTTAGATAACATACGGTTACGTGGCCTCTCACCACTGAGAAAGTAAGCCCATGCAGTTACTATAGGGCTAGGACTTACGTTTCGTCTGAGCACAGTTAATAAAATAGGATATAAGCCCAGGGCTAATTATATTTGGAGGTTTAGTTGACGTAGATGGGACTTCAGGGCGCAGTCGTCAAAGTAAGCGCCTTTCGCCTCGAGTTCGTTGGTTTGATTCTCGCTACGGACTCATGTGAAAAGAGTCATCAGAACGCTCTGCCGAAAGTCGTGGATTTTCTCCGGGCGCTCCGGTTTCCTCCGACACGGAAGTTGACAGGGTGGGTTAGGATAAACACAGTTAAGAAGTAATATCACAATTGTTGTAAAGATAAAAGAGTCTGAAACCATAAATCATTTTACGATGGGAAAGTGTGGTCAATGCCTTCGAATACTGATCGAGCTAATCCACTTATACTGTTGT